AAACTCAACCTACCTCATAAAAAGTCCACCAATCATGACCTTAGTCAAGTTATTGTCATTTTGTCCATCACTAACACTAGCCTGCAATAAAAGAGCAGCCACATTGAGGTATGATAAAGAGAGAACTAAAGATGAAGTAATTCATCCTAATGTGCAATTTAGAGGTTCATAAGATCATTGAAAACTGGACTAATTCATGACCCTACAATGGTGTGGTGGTGGTGACGTTCAAGAAGAAAATCGTTAATTAACAACAAGACTTTTAAGGTCTTCTACCAAAGGATAGAATTTTTCCAATGATTTGTAATTGGTTAAAGCCAATAGACCAAACAAAGTAGTCAAATAATACAACAGAATGACATATAACAAACATTACTTTTTTTCTAGAGACGAAAGTTTTATTGACAAATGGGTTGAAAAATGCCTAGTAATAGACTGGACTAAATGTTGTTTTTATTATTTTCTCATCAGATTTTTTTGGTAGACATGTCTCAGTGTCCCCACGCGTCCAAACGTAGACGTGTCCCATGTGTGTCTTCAATGTGTCTAAAATTAAAAATCATAAAAGTAACGTAGGACATTTTTTGTCACTCGTCAAACACAACTATGAAACATGTTCAAACATATCTATGTCCCACACGTGACCATGCTTCCTAGCTGCCACCAAGTCAAAAGAGTTAGAAAGATAATTCTTTGATACAATTCAATTAAAAGCAGCAAATGAATGGAACATTACCCGAGAAAAAAACAGTGACTGCATCAAAAATTCAAGCTGGAATTCTGCAAGTAATAAGTTATAAGAAATTGAAATGAAAAAAAATATATATCCAAATGGCAAGTAAAATGTCATCTGTGCTCCGACTAAACAATTATGAACTTAAAAGGTATAACGTTCTGAAACTAGTCAACAAGTTGAATATCAACATGCCAAATCAACCAAGCTATGATAAAATTCAATCATTTACAAAAGACCTTTTTCACTACAGGATCCCAAAAGGATATACTAGCCCCTAGCGGTAGGGATAATTAAAATATTCCGACATACCATGTCAACCGACTAAAACCAGCCAAATTGACTTTGGTCGGCCGGTATATGTGTTTCTTCAGTTTGGCCGGTTTTGCATATAGCAAAAATGACCTCTCAGTCAGTTGACGGGGCCGAAAAGGGCTCAAATTGACCAAATATATTAAAAGAAGTTGTATAAGTACGAGTTGACGCGCCATACTGCTGCAGCAGCTCCTTGGAAAGACCAGTTTGTAATTATTAAAAAAAAAATAGTTAATTTTTCTTTTTTATTTTGCCTTTTTCCGTTTCTCTCATCTCCTCCTACTCCCTTTCTCCCTTCCCTCCTCTTTCTTCTTTTCTTCTCCTTTTTTTCTTTCTACTCTTCTTTATTTATATAAAAGAGATAAAGGCATACAAGAAAGGCCAAAAAAGTCCAATCGTTTAAGGTTGTAATTACAAAAGAATTTACGACGGTTGGAAATCCACCAAAAAAAGCATCGCAAAAATAATCAAAACGTAAAATTTTATCTTAAAAAGTCCTTTAGTTTCTCTCTCCAGATGTGCCAAAGAAACCCTCTGGCTGCACCACTCCCAATAATCTTGGCTTTTCTTTCAAGATTCCATCCACCTAAAGCTTCAGTCGTCGACTCATCTATTCTAATAGGAAAAAAAAAAAAAGTTTGGATGCCAATTTCATTCAACACTGACATCCAACCCTTATAGGACATAGGACAACGCAAGAAGAAAATGATCCAAGTTCTCATCCTCTTTGTAGCAGTAAACAACACAAACCGATAGAGACAAGTTCCACCGAGGTAACTTTTTTTGCAATTTATCCATGTACTAAGACTTCAGTAAGCTAAGCACCAAAATAACAACTACGGGTGAACAAACTCCTCTATGGGAATGATTAAGCTTCATAAAGGCCAATTTGGAGGTAAAGCCTCCCAAATCTTCGAGGTTCGACCTCATTTTAACCTTATCACTGTCCAGGATAACCCCATTAAGTTTATCAATTAAGGATATCCAACTGCCCAACTTCCAATCATGTTGTCTCCACTTATCTAAATAAACGTGATATCTGTTCAACAACGGCTCCCAAAAGTTGATAGCTTGAGGATTGCCACCTAATGGGAATTCCAAGTAGGAAATATGAAGATTTTTTACCATACACCCAATCCTCTTGGCCTAGTCCACCACTGTCTCGCTGCTCACATTGATGCCAACAGTAGCTGTTTCCCCCAAATTTAAACCTGAGCCTTGCAAAAAGATATTCAACCAATATCACCATGTCTCCAAGTTTGCGTCACCGTCACAAAAAAATTAATGGTACTGTCAGTGTATTGCAGGTAAGTAACATGCATGTCATCTCTGCCTACCACAAAATCCTTCAGCATCCTTCTTTCAGAACAGTAGTGAATCAATCTACGAATGGTGTTCGTGAAGAGAAAATGAGAGAGAGGATCTCCCTGTCTCTTTCAAAAAAAACTCACTCCATTCACAAGTGAAGGTGAAGTTCTTCCTTTGGGAAATAGCGCATAAAGTCATTAGCACAAGTGAAAATCTTCAAAAAAGAATGTCTTACATCACTCTTTCTCCAAATTGGTGTCCATTATGAAAAAAAGAAAACGAATCACAAAGTCACTATGCATATACGCTCAGAATTTCTGGACAACGTCTCAATATATTTGGATGGCATTTCACATTTCCTAGGGAGGTAAAGGGTCTTTTGGATATGGCCTTAACGTACCACCCTTTCAAGAAGGTAAAAGCCCTACTATAGAAAAACCTCATCATGGCTTTCTTTTGGTAAGAGATGCATAAATAAAATATCTGCTAGCGATGGCTTGGGCGATTATAATTTCCCTCCATGGATTAGGTAGGAGATACATATTGCTGAGAGAGAAAGGGAAGAGGAAAAGATAAGAGGGTTTGTCTGATCCAACACAAAGAAAGAGAGGAGGCTATTCAGCTTTTGAAAGTAGGCTTACCTTGACTTTTTTAGTGAACATGCACATCGTCCAAAATCCTCGATCTCGAGATATTAGATCCTCTAACCCTTTTTCTAGAGCTGAAAATCAATTTGACCAAATAGTAAAGTGGGCATCGATTGCAATTGTTGGCGTCAAGCATAGAAACCCAAGAGTCGGACTCATTAGCCAATTGTAACTTTTTACTCTTGACCAATCTCTTACTTGGGTGTCTTCCTCTCACAGCTATGCAAGGAGATTCACCATTTTGGATCCGATTAATATAAAAACCATTTTATTCTCTCTAAAGCAAGAAGGCTCCTTAAGCCTCTTTCCAAACCTCCCTACATGATTTATGTCTACCTTCTTGGATATCTACTAGGAAGGTAACAGCAAGTGCAATGAATCACAACTCAACGCCATAGAAGGCTCAAAGGGTAATTAAAATTATTCAACTCAGATTGCTATTGGACAATACAACAAAATGATATATAAAGGCGTGAAGGAATATCAAAATATTATACACACACACACATTAAAATTTTATGATACAATTAGCCAGCACAAGTTTCATGTTATTTTTATCAATGAAAGTTCATTTGTTTAAAATAAAAGCTTCAATAAGTGTCCTTGCCGCAAAATTTGAAGTTTCCAAAGGTAAATTGGCCCAATCATACGACTTTTAGACTCTCCAAGGGAAAGACATCAACAAAATAAGGGATGTTGTAGCTTCTTAAGTGACTTACTAGATTAACAAAGGTGAAAATATCAGGATTTTCCGAAGGACAAGTAAATTGGCTACAAGCCTTTCTCTTCCAAATTTTGCCACCTTGTGCAGTCTCCAACAATGAAATACTTTTCATGGATCAAATATATAGAATGCCGATCTTTCTTCTCAGGATCTCCAATGCAGCATCTTTAGTGACTTCAGTGATGAAAAAGCTCCCTGATGACTTTTGATCTTGACCAGAAACATTGTAAGTGGATTTGACCTCTTATCCCAAAGAAACAAGTCATGACATTTTGTTTTAAGATCCCATTGTATGTTTAGACAACAATGCTAAAGTCCAAAAAAGGAATCCAAAGTAGCATCCATCCCCCAGCTGGTGTATACTAGGTGCAAAGTAAGCAATAAAAATATCAAGATCATCTTTCTATAAGCTGTCCACTGGCCTCTCAATTTTGGAAAACTTGGCAGGCTTGATTCAATTGGTTCATTGTTCGTTGTTTTTCCTAACACAACAAATGTCTACTTTTTTTTCCTTTACTTTTGGAGCTGTAGCTAAAACTTTGTGGCTTAACCTCATTTTTTTTTTTTTTTTTTTTTTTTTTTT